CTTCTCCCCGGGGTCGAAAGCCTTTCCCCTCCAGCACCGCACGAGTACGCCCTGCTTCCGCCGGAACGGATCCTCTTGAACGAAAGGCTCGGTCTCGAGGTGGACGGATCGGAGCCTGGCCCTCTTCCCCGGGACCATCCCTACTGCCGTGAGCAACGAGAGCTAGGCTGCTACCCGCTTCCAGGATGGGAGCAAAAACGCCCTCTCCCGCAGTACGAACCGTTCGAAGACGATCTCGGTAGGTCTCGCGAGCGCGACGAGGAGCACCGGTGTCGGAGCGGGCTCACCGTCGGTGAATTCGATGCCAAGGTCGCTCTCGAAAGCGGGATAAAGAAGAAAAAATGCCTGCAACGGCACACAAAGGGCGGCTTCGTTTTCTCGTGCCCTCATTGTGTCATCTATGGCTTCCACGTCATGCTCCGCGGGGAGTCGCCGCGAGACCCCTTCACCGTCCTGTACACGCGGCTCAATCGGAGAGATCTTCCTCTGTACCTCATCCACGACAACGCCTGCAAGCTGCGTGCCTACGCGATGCGGAGAGAGCCAGCGTTCTTTGCAGACGTTCGGTTCCTGATCGATAGGTAAGGTCAGAAGATTTGCGCAAGCCAAGGGGCGGCTCTTGTTGAGAGTCATTCTTGTGATCTTCCGTGCCATTGCCATACAGCATTGCGACTTTCCTCAGCTGTGCACTGCTATACATTTTTTATTCTCATTCGTGCTTGATCTTTGCAGATTCCATTTCCACCACACAACCGCCGAGGCACACAAGTGTGGTCCATCATACAACACAGGTGAGACCCTGATGCATTTGCAAGGCACATGTGCGTTAATCCTGCTCGAAGTGGCCGCCCATCTCGAATGTGTGTGCAAAGGAGCGGATTTAGAGTGACTCAGTCAAAAACGCCCTCTCTCTTCTAAAGAAAAAGGAGGCAAGTTTGGACTGCCTTTCAAGAGTGTATATATATGTGGCATTCTTCTACAACGCCATGTCTCAAGGCTTTTCTATGCTGAACTAATTCAATCTCCGTATGGATCACGTGTAGACTACTACGACTCTGTGTGTTGGGTCAACACCTCAGCAGCGGAGTCGTGCAACGCGTTCCTCGTGAGCTTCAAGACGCAAGCTTGGTATAGTAGCCTCGTTGCGTTCATGATCATCCTTGCTAACCTGATCAGCGGACGGAATAGCGACCTCACACGAGTTGACGCCCCAAAGCTGCGAATTGCGGGCAGAGCGGACACGTGGGAACCGGCTGTACGGCAGCGGCTCTTGATGTACTAAAGACCCTGTTGAAACAAAGACACTGATTGAGAAGTTACCATGACTTGTACGTTTCATCATATGCTTCATGCATATTCCAACAGCATCGAATGTGCATTCAATGTGTGTTCGTTATCATTAGAAGAAGCTATACCACTTTGGTGCAAACGAGAAGGGTACTTGTGTCAGAGGCATAATCGTGCTTGGATGGGGCCGCAGACCAGAAGCCCAGAAGACCCGGATTCTAGGTCTTTTCTATTACAGCAATCATGGCCCCTAGAGATTTCTAAAATCGAAAACACTTGAAATCGTGGTCTTATAGACTTTTGGTCTGCAGACCATAAGACCAAACAAACAAACAACTCACAAGTTCTAAAGTTCTCCTCTGCATGCAAGCGCTTGCTCTGCCCGTCGACACCTACTCCAATGCATGAGATTCATAGCCAGATTTCAATCGAACCCCCGAAAGGCCTTTGAACTGACCTCGAGATTGTACTTGGCTGTTTGTGAAGCGGCCGTCTACAACCACCCGATTCTTTCCTTCAGCATAATCTAAGATGCGTTTTTTCAGCGCCGTTGCCGACAAGGAGCTAGTCAAGTCTTCTTCCTTCAACCAAGCTCGGAACACCTCTCCGAGCTGTTCGCCAACGGCTAAGTGCCATGTCGCTCTTTCTCCGGGTTGTATATCTTCGAATTCGAGACAATCGACGATCCATCGCCTAGCGATATCCGAGTCGTTGATGTATGCTCTAACGGCTTCTTCCATCACACGAGGTCTGCGCATCAATGGTAGCGTGTTGGGATTTGCTCGCTTGAGTTCATGATAACGTCTTGCTCCCTTTGCGTACCATGAAAGACCCTCATCTCGACCTTGGTCGCTTTTCAAGTAGGTTTCCAGGGTTGTATCGATAAGCTTCGGGCGTGGTTTGCTGGATTCGAGCTTTTCGGGAGGTAAGAAAGTGACCAACATCGGAAGTAGTGCCAAGCGTCGAGTGACACAGTAGGATACGTTCTGAAGAATAGGCTTGTAGTTCGTGTTGAGGACGGTCTTCACAGTGAGCTCGAATGTCTCTTGTCTGCTATGCAGCTCGCGCCCTGTAGTGGTTCCCCCGCTTGATAGGGCTTTCATTGCGGCCTCATTCAGGACTGCTTTCTCTCCCGACTCGTCGGTCTCAGCGAGCCGCCCGCCCCGAAGAGCCATTATGTGGCTCGAAGCCGCGCCAGCGGACCGTTTACCGGCCTCGATGATGCAGTCTTCTGACATAACGACAGCGTAACTGCCTAGAACTTCGAGACTTGCTAGCTTTGTCAAGGACTTTCCATTAGCTCCATTGCCTTGCTTGACTAGGAACAATTGTTCACTCGTATCCGCCATCATACAATAGCCGCAGAAAAGCTGATACCATTCGAGTACTTCTCTGTCATCGTTGAAGCAATCAAGCAGGAACCTCTCGAATCGGCTTTCGGCCTTTGGCATTCCACGAAAAGTTGCTTTCGACGCGCGTGAAAACAGATGAGCAGGATCAAATGCGAGCAACTTTCCGGTCTCGGTGTTAATGACGCCGTTCGCACACGCAAACAAGAACGGATTGGCAATATCCATCATCTCGCTGAGAGGTTGAGGAGCCTGCAAGGAGTTCATACAAATTCGAGACATACACGAACCTCCGATCCCCGTGTCAGATCAACCAGATCCCTCTTCGTTGGGAACGGATACGTTTTGTTGACCACCCTCCACGCGGTGCTGCATGCTTTTCTTTCTTCTTCGGTCGTTGGGTTCATTGCCCAATTTGGAAGGACTGACTCTAGCGTTGATAACACGTTCTGCTCTGTTGCAGAGCCTCTCATATGTGCGCAAATCTCATGCTTGAAAGCATTCAATCTCTGTTTCGAATACCAGGTCATGATACGAGCCATGTGGTTACTAAAGACGGTTTGTATATGGAACGCGTTATCGATTATCCATCTGCGACCGTTCCAGTAGTGAAAGCGTTTGCCCTCAGCAATGATGCGTCCGTCAACGAGATACATGGCCGAGAAGATCGCAGCCATGCCTCGATAGCGCTGCGTCACGTTACGCCGGATAAGATTCATGTGTGCTTCCACCGCATCCTGCGACATCGTTCTTATGTTATTCGGAAAGGTACTCCAATCATGAGTCGGGTGCAGACGTACAGGATTGGCATCCAACAACGATATTGGTATTGGAATGTTGCCAAGCTCCGTAAGAGGCTTCAACTCGGTGCATTCAGAGCCAAAGCATCGATAGAATACCGTCCATCCTCGCTTCACGAGAGTCAGATTGTTGCTACCAGTGTATTGATGACCATGTATGCAGGTTCGAGGACCATCACAGATGAATGAATAGAGAATACCGTACGAACCGCGGAAGGTCACGTTGCCAGAGAAGCGAACCTCCGTGTCGAGTCCAGCGTCTTGTAACAGCTGCATCATCGCATCAGCAATCCTCTTGTGCTCGATTGCTTGTCTATTGTGTGAGTCATCGGTATCCACCTCCACTCGCATTGTTTCTTCGACGGTGCTTGATTCAAGCCCCCTTGTTTGCTCGATATCAGCACCGTTTGCTGACAACTCTTGAATTCGATCGCTCGAAGTCAACACGAGACTTTTGTTTGCGGATCTCCCAGCAGAATCGTTGAGGAATCGAATCAACCATGATGGAGCTGGTCGGATGTTCGTCCTTAAGGGTTGTGCGCACCAAGTGTAATTCAATCCAATCTGAGGTGAGCCTGGCGGGGCCAAAACAACGCCTCCGTCTCCGCGCCCATCTATTCCATAATACTGGCCCTCGTAGTCTACGCCAGCGAAACACTTCCCTGATTGGAGTCCCTCGTTGAGTGATTCACCGTACGAGAAGTAGTAATGGAGGCCTCCGCTGGCTGAAGTGGCTCTTAAAGTGTCTGGTTCTCCGTGTTCTGCAATCAATCTATTCCAGAGAGGCATGCCAGATTGGAGATCTTTTTCTGGTTTGTCTCGTGTGTCTATATCGAGCACGAAGATGTCTGAAATGGTTCCCGTCTTTATCGCCAAAAAGTTGAATCGATCTTTTTCAATCTTTTCCATGATTCGATCCCTTGCCATTCTCCAATCGGACACCGTTCGTATAGCGTCATTGCCTTTCGCATGCGGCATTGTTGCCAGAATGTGCTTCGATCCTTCGTCCGTTGCTTTAACTTTTGCCGGGATAGCGTATAGTCCTTCTTGTGCATACGCTTCTAACACGTGCGCAATCGAATTCGTTGCCATGCTTTCCACAGACCGAAGGAGGTTCGGAGCCCCCTTATATTTCCAACCCCAGAAATTTTTTGACATGGAACGCGGCTCTCGACGGAGCCCACGCTTGCAAAGAGGTGTAATTGTCTAGTACGATCGAATCCAAGGAAGAGCAGCCTGTGCCTCATAAAGTCGCTGCCTCGTCCGTCTGCTTGTCTTGCTTCCCTTCGCAATCGTTCAAGAGCCTTCTTCAAGAGGATCTCGTCTTTATGTATCTGATAGTAACTCTTCGAATATTCTCTCTTCTTGGCCTGATGCTCGTCCTTATAGATGCTCGCCTCGAGACAAGCAGCACACGTGGTCGATCCATGTTTGTGATTCGTCGATTCCATAGCTGGAGTGCAGTTGATGCCTCCTGATAACTCTAACATAGAAAAATTGCTCCTCAGAGAACGCACACAAAGTACAGAAAGAAGAGAATTGCCCACTCATTCGAATCGTCTATTATAGAGCTCATCCGCAGTCCTCATGCTTTGGCCCATGTATTGTGCCTTTGCTCTCACTTCACCACGAGACATCAGCTTTGGACTCTGTTCAGTATGTGAGATGTGTCGAAGCAGAGTGCAGCTAAGATTTCTACCGAAATGGCGCTGACCAAGGTCGTTGAGAACTACGGTGAAGTTCGATATCGGTTCATCTTTCCAGACGAGATAATGCCTCTTAAGGATCAAATGTTTTCTAGGAATCAGATTGAAGGATCTGAGTATAACCTTTACGAGATCCTCGGGAATTTCAAGGCGCCGAACTCCATCCTTTTCGAGGGTCTTGTGTCGACCGATGTGAAAGAAACACTGCTTGGGATCGTCCTTCAACTCGACGACGTTGACGTCACCGGATTTGATCGTAACACGATCATTCTCGTGTTCCTTCATGAAAAAGATGCATTCCGCATATTCATTTCGCAAAGGTCCCAGCGGCATTGTGTATAGTGAGAGGATCAGATGATCCATCACCAACTGCTTATCATGGCGATCCAAGCGTTCCTTGTTAAGGAATCTCGGCACGATATAGCGGTTGATCTGATCGTCGAGTTCCGATCGCTTTTCCAAGAGCTCGGACCAAGGAATCCAATTGTCGACTTCCTTCGGCGTTTTCCTCTGCATAGAATGATCGAGCTCCTCCTCGGTTGGCTTCATCCTCTGCATGTACTTCGAGTAAGCCGATTGCGTTTGTCCGGAAGCAAGAATAGCAAAAGGGGCTGCATAATTACTCTTCG